ATCTTTACATTAATGAGCCCGTAAAGAAGATTGATTTTCTTCAAGGGACTTTTATGCTCAGTTTGGCAGCAGAGTGGTCCTATTGATTTCGCTTTCCCAAGTAAACACGCACAGAGTGCAGCATCCTCTGTGAATCAGCTAATCCTATTTCACGCTCTTTTGCTTCAAAAAATCCTTGTTCTGACTTCCTTGTTATCTGTGCTTATTCACAGCAAGATCATGGGGCCAATGCATCTCAAGCAGCACTGGCTGTTGCTAATATATAGCAGACTGCCGTGGGTCACTATCCCTTTTGTTCTTAAATAGTTGGGGGCTTAAAAGACTTACAGTGAAAGAAACGAAAGTTATTTTTAAGTGTTTAATCTGTTAACTTCCTTAATTCCTACCAGCTAAGGATGTGGCCTCAAGTGCTCTGCTTACACGCTTGCTCTGGAGGTCTGGTTAGCAGGCTCTCCACAGAGCTCCACAGCTGCAGAGCAGCCTATGCTGGCGTGTCCACATCACTGGCTGCCAACTGAATCAGGCTTGCCACCATGGGACCACAGCAGAGGATGAGGATCCTCCTACCACCCTGTGCAGCCATTCCCATAGCTCTCCAGGATGCATCCACGATCACTCAGCCAGAGGTAAGAAGGTGAAGCAGGAGCTGAAGTGCAGCCAGGCACCATAACTGACTTTGCATCTCCACAGGTGTTTGGAGAATACCTACAGTAGCAAGTTCTATGCAGAGCTCATCACAGCTCTGCTCCTCCTCTTGTCTTCCACGCCAGCAAGGCTAAGTGACTCTCCTCTCAAGTTGGTCAGGAAGTTGGATATATGCAGACTCAGTTCGGCTGCAAAGAAATGGTTACTTCCATCCTCCCTTCCCCTACCAAACCGTATCACAGCTCAAGAAAAGAGTCTTCCAAAGAGCCTACAGAGTTAACACACTTGAGTTGCAGCAGAACACTGGGAAGGGAAACCCTCAGCCAAAAGCATGTCAGTGAAAACATCCTGCCATCAACTCCCAAACGTCCAAGTCTAGGAACTGTAGCTAAATTACAAACGCTGTGGGAATTTCAGGCAAGATTCTCCCCTCAGCTACTCCGATGTAATTTCGGAATGAATCCAGATTCACAGTCTCTCCCCCTCCCAGCTGAATTTCCTGGCTTTTGTTTGCACTAGCAGATGTTTGCATTTAATGTCTGTCTTTATATGGTAACCCGTCCATAGATTATTTCCCCCTTCTGTTCTATTAAAAGCTTTATCAAGTCCCTTATGTTTGCTCTTGTTCAGATGAACAACTTTGGCAGTATTTTCAACGTGCAAGGCAAACTGGCTCTTCAAGGAATAATTAAACTGAATTAAACTTCATGGCAGTAAATTAAGGCATACCATGTTTGATACATATGTTTCTCTTGCATCCATCTGCAGCCTGAAATATCCAAAGATTTGCAATAAGCTTTGAGAATGCTCTTTCCAACTGATTCCCACATGTTTGCATATATATCAGTTCTTGGTACACGTGTACATAAGGTCAAGTAAATGTGGGGTGATGGAGACAGATACGGGAAGTCCCAGGGCAAGGAGCAAGAAGTGATCGAGCTCACTGAAACAACCATTATAGTAAACTTCAGTTTGACAATATGGCATTTTCCTTTCTTCCAGCATCAAAAGGATAGAAACTCTTCCAATTTAGGAAGAGCTGGAAATGAAGTAACCCATTCACCAGGACTGTTTTGAGTGACAAATACACAACCATTGCTTTTACGATACATTCACAGCCCTTTGGAAATACTTAACCACATGCAATATACAAAACCTACTTCAGAGGTTTGTGAGGTAAACACACTTCACACATTTATAAACACTGAAAAAAAAAGGAAATTATTTATTTTTCTTTAGCAGTAAGAATACACTGTAACACTATATACTTAAACATAAACCAATTTCTCAGTACACAGCCTTCATTATGAGTCTTCGCCCTGAGTTTGGTTTGGCAACCTCCCCAGTTATTACTTCACTGATTTGAGGGCTAGAAGAAACCAGTATGATGGCACAATCCAATTGCTTACATCACACAAAGCCAAAGAACTTCACCCAACAATTTACGTACCAAGTCCATTAACCTGGAGTTGAACTAAAGGACCATCTTTTAGGAAGATATCCAATTGACTGACTTCCAGTGATGGAAAAAGCCTCACTTCCTCAGCAAATCATTCCGATGCGAATCAGTCAGGAACATCAATTAAAGCAGGTACTTTAAAACCTCTTTCAGATTATTTTTACTTTTGATAAAAATTAAAAGGAAATGCAGGGGTAAAAAATGCAGCAAAGAAGCTAAACAAGGAGATCCTTCTTGCAGAGGTATGACAGCAGCATTACAGATGCCACTATCACAGTTATTTATGTGTAGCAGCTGAGGAAAGCAATACAGATTTCTGGAAAGTGATACTAAGCAGGTCTGTTTAGAATATCGTCCTTTTATCATTTGGCTTTGTACCTTCCCCTTCCTTCTGTACCACTCTGAAACTTCAGAGGAGCTGTAAATCTACTGCCTTCCACCACTCATTATTACTCCTTTCCAAACCACTTATTTCATTTCAGAAATAAAAAGCCAAAGCTCTAGCAATTTGGTCCCTTGCCAAAGGCTAAATTAATAGCAAAAATAACAACAGGGGCTTGTGAAGCTCAGATCATTTATAGATTTCATGAGAAAGAAAAGCTGATTTGGGGGGCCCAAAACTGTATCCTGGATGGCAAACCGTATGCAAGCTTTCCATCCATAAATCAGATTTCTGAAGTTTTTTGAATCCCAGTGCATGAGCTGTTACACAGTGCGTTACGTGGCAGTCTGGTGAGCTCAGTTCAAGTGGCAGGCAGATGGCCTCACATGTCAGGGGATCATGCCTCAAACAAGAGATCCTGCTTGGAGGGAATTACCACACAGCACTGCAGTCAGCAGCGCCCAGATCACGGATCTGGGCTTCACATATGGTCATGCAAGCAGGGAGAGACTGTGGCAGGAGGAGAAATCAAACAAGTTGGTTTCACACCAGCTGCATGTGACATATTTGACAGGTCTGATAACTATTGAGACACAAGCAACTTCTCCACTCAGGAGGTGGAGTGGTTACTTGCCCATTTAAATGAAAGACACTCACTAGATTCAGTGCTGAAGATAGCACAGGAGTGCTTCGGCTCTTTGTAAGCTCTGCAGGAACACACTATACCCAAGAACCAGATCAAAGGCATCACATCTCAAATAAAGCTAAGCCCACTTCATGCTATGAGAGAGATATGGATGCTACTTTTAAGCTCAGGTCCTTAAGACAGTGAGGGAGTTCTTTTGCTTTGCATATTTTAACACTGCCTAATGGAAGAGCAGGAACAGTGCCAATTCATTTCACTCAAATCTGTTCTTGATTTAAGTAATAGGAATGTACTTTTAGTCAACTGATCAAGGTTATCTTGGAGTAATTCAGAGCCTTTCAAGTGTGAGAGGACCAGTCACCCACCCAGTGCTATGGACACTGGCACTTCCCACTAGAAGAAAACACAAAGCCACTGCAGATAAGAAGGGATGGGACACCTGCCTGAAGTTATATGCTGTAAGGCCATGCACAATGGAAGCCATCACTTGAACTGCTCAGGCACTTCACTGGATTCCCTATTAGCTATAACAACTTTCCCTTCCCAGGAACTTGGGAGTTATCACACATACCTCAGCAAAATTCCTTCTCAGTGTGCATTATATGCAGATACATGCAAAAATAAGATACTGAGAAGTCTGATAACAATGTTTTTATTCCCTTCAGCAGTGTCCCTAGGCCTAGGTCTAAGGTGGCAGAGGCACAAGGGTACTCAAAGTGTCTAACACTTCTGTAGGCACCTAAACTACCAAAGTTAGCAATTACAAAGCTTCTACAGATCTAGCCCTACAATCACCAATCACTCTCTCTCTCAAAAAAAAAATTAAAATAAAGTTGAAAGCGGCCATAAAAATGGGTCTGGAATGAGTTTCCTGAAAGATTAAAATGTGAATAGTCTCTGGCTTTAAGAGAAAATAAGAAATAACCAGAACAATGCCAGGGAAAAAAACAATAAGGTAGAAGTATATACTCCTTTAATAGCACAAGTATGAAACAATGGTCAAAAACCAAATGCAGACAATAAAACAAAAACCACAACCCCCCCTTACTCAATATGCAACTAACCCGTGGAATTTACTGACTTAAGTTATCACTGACCATAAGGTTTCAATGGTCTGGCAAGGGATGAAATGTTAATGAAAAAAAATGAGGACAATCACATAAAAGCAAAAAGACAAAAAAGAGTATCTGCGTCTTCCAACAACAGAAATGCAACAGTAACAACGACAGATTTCAGTGTGACTTTCTGCTAGGGGCATCTTCTGTAATTATTCATGGCTGCCCACCACGGCATTCCTGCAGGCTGCGTGGAAGCACTGCCCACTGTACTTAACACAGCCCAACAGGACGTTTGTGTGAATCGCATCTATAATCATTTTTCACAGGGGTTCTGCTGACATATAGGCCAAAAGGTGGTACTTCAAATCTGCTAACAATTGCTAAGTCCTGGGTAGGTCTGTCCCAGTCACACTGGCACAAAAATGACTTTTAGGGCTCTGGAGGCACTTATACAGACTTGGCTGTGCTGACAGATGGACAACTTTGGATTGTCTACTTTGGATCATTCCATAAAATTAAGTATCAGAGAAATTATCTGCTCATGGGTTTGTGGATTTTTAATTGGTCTGCAAGCATCATCTTCTTTCTGCCTTGTGCATACAAGCTGCATTAAAACAGCACATTTAATCACACACAATCTAGCCCGAATCTCAACTACAGAAGATATTTCTTAATTAAAGAATCAACAAGACTGATAATGAAATCTGAAGAGCTAGCAGAAGCGGGTGTGACGCGCATGAAACTCAGCAGTTACATCCACCCCACAAATTGCAGCAGAAAGTCAAAAGTAAGGAGGCAGCAGCAACTCACAGGTGGAGGGCACGGACGTTGGAAGCAGCAGGTCCCAGGGAGGGAATGGCAGTCAGTTCATTGTTGTTCAGTTGCCTGCAACAAGAAATGAACCATTTAGCAAGGAGGCAGAGAGGAGGTGTGCATCAGCTGGGCACAGGACTTTGTATGAGTGTGTTCTCCCCCAGAAGCACCAGCATTTTGGCAGAAGGGCTTTCTCTGACCGTCCCACCTTTTCATCCCAACTTCTTAATAAATGAGAGCTGCGACAACTGCTCCAACAATACCTTCTTTATTCAAGGCAGATTTGCAGCCCCCACTCATTGCACTGGGCCATGGAGATGCCATGGCAGCCCTCAGGCTGCATTGGACCTAGCTCTGAAAATCCCACAGGGGCAGTGTCACAGAGCTGGCCACGACAACACAAAAAAACTGCTCTGGGCACAAAAATGGCACTGAAACAGGTGACCTGCTCCAGCCAGCCCCCAGCAGCCCTGAGGGGCTAATGGCAATCGCAGACAGGCCTCACGCCTGGAAAGGCCTTTACAGCATGTCCCCCTCAATGGCCTAATGTTTGAAGTGTTTTTCTGACTGAAAACAGATCCTGGCCATGTGACCGGCTCTTCCTTGGTTTAAAGAGCCCTTGTTTGTACGGTGAATTAGTCAATTAATTACTGTAACAGTCGCTTGTCTGGCTGCTTGAAAATTACCTAACTTCTTAGCCATCTTGCTGCCCCCCCTCCACACACAGAAGCCATTAAAGCTGAACCCCTGCCAGGCCGAGCCCCATGGCCCCCAGCCACACAAATCAGCAAAGCCTCACTGCTGTGTATCTGCCCTCTGAGCACCATCCCCTTCTCCTCCACGGGGGATCTCAAAAGCACCCCAATCCTCTCAGGCCTTGCCCCCCAGGCACTCTGCCCCAGGAAATCCCGAAAATCACATCCAGATGCATCCGACTGCAAAGCGGGAGCAGGGATGCGTGGTACAGCTGAGGGGTGCTAAACCCTGAGCTGGGGCAATCCTAAATTCTGCTCCTTTTGGCACTTCTAAAATATTTTTGGCAGGTGGGAGAGGGCAGCGATGCCTCCATTGCAGAACTTCCTTCTGACTCCTCTGAGAGCAGGCACCGTATTTGATTTCATGAGGAGTTCCAGGCACTGCTGGGATAAAAGCTTTTCTGGGCTGCAGCTCTGCCTCTGACATTATACCCATACCTTAAAATGTAAGGGAAGAAAGCCAGAGGCATTGCAATTCAGCAAGGAGCTCTACTTTGCATCTAAAAGCTCATTGTTACTGGTATTATAGCAAGGTCTCCAGCTTTCAACAGTGCAAAGCAAGCTGGAAAGAGCATTGAAATGCATGCATTTGTGACACATTTACATTAACATCCAGCTGAGCATCTTTCTGAAAGCCACAGAAGGGGAAGGAGAGTTGGGCCCACCCTCCCCTAGTGCTGGTTAAACAGCTTTAACACTAACCAGCATCTAGCAAGCGTCCAAACTCTCCTCTGACATAAACGTCATCTTCATCTATCACTGCCCTGTCAGGTCTTTCTCAGTTAAACAACGCAGTCAGAAAGCAGCTCTCCCACCTCATTTTCTCTTGGCTCACAGGCACCAGTTGCTGATGCAGTGGAGACAGCCAAGCTCATTATTTGTCTGGGATTTCCCTCTCCTCTTCCCCTTCCCCTCACATATAATGAGCAAATAGCAAAAAAAAAAATCAAAAAGAGCCCCACAACTAAACTCAACAAATTTAAACATCCTTCTTTCTCCTTGAGGACAGAAACCTGCTGCCCTGGACAGCAAGGGAGGGCAGGAGGGGGCCACCCATATAAAATATTTACGGTCCGGTTGCCAGGCTGGTCTCAAGCTGAAATGGAGCCTGCTCAAAAATAGCACAGCTCTCCTGAGCTTTCAGTGAAAGGCACTTTAGAAAATAAAAGGTGAGTTGTTTGGAGAGGAATTTTAGCACAGTTACTACCTCTTTGTTAAAAAATGAGCTTGGAAAACCTGAGAGCCGTGTAACCCTCCTTCTCATGGATTCCATATGACCTGAGGAAACCCCACAAAGGACAAGAGGGCTGCCCCACAGCAGCATCCCACTCCTACCTATACTTGCTGTCAACGCATGGGATCAGGGGTGTCTTTAAGAGGGACCACAGAGGGGCATGGGAGAAAGTACAGGTGTCCTAAAGGAGGGAGGTAATGCAACACTGCAGCCCCTAAGTAGCACACAGCTACTTAGTCCTGAATATATGGGATCATGGGGTTTTGTATCACTTCAACCTCCTCCTGCAAGAGATTACACTTAAGGGGTAAAAAGCTTCTAAGAATCAAAAATACCAAATGCTACTACTTTATCTTAGTAAAGCACACCAGAACACCCAGTATAAGCTATGAAGTTTAGATGGTTGGTTTGCTAGCATTTTCATAAAACTAAGGGTTTCAACAAAGATTTCCAAAATATATGGCACTAATTATTCACATACAGACACATCATGTTTGAGACCCATCTGTAATGCTCAGGAACCACAGGCTCCGTGTTTAAAGCATCATGGGAGGTTTCAGGTCTTATCAATGCATCTATCATTTGGGGCAATCTCATTCCCTGAGGGTGACTTGATTTGCCCAGCACAGCACGCACAGCAAAACACTGACTTGCTCTCAAGACATGCCACAGCATGATCCTTATTTCATGAATGTTTGTAAAGTGCTTTAAAAAACCCTCAGAAAGAGATGCTCTGGCAGTACAGATGTGGTTCTCCTTGTGAAATGCAGTTTATTTCAGTGGTCTGTGGTTTAGCTGTTATTCAAAAGCAACCAAGACTGGTAGATAGGGCTTTTAATAGAGCTTCTCCCTCACACTTTCCAGAGACTGCCTTCCAGGCTGGGCTCCAGACCTCTGCCTCCCTTTCCATCTCAATTTTCTTCCTATTTGCTTCTTTGCTCTCTCCCTTTCCCCTAACAAGGCACTGCTAGTCACGCTATTACTCTGAAGGCTGCACTGCTTGCCTCCATCAATCCTCGATGTTCTTTCCACATTCAGCCCTCAGTGCATGACTTTGCACACAGGAGCTCCCTACCTGTGAAACCAAAAGCCACACAAATGAATCTCCCAGCCCCACGTGCCCAATAGTTAAACACCTCCAGGCACTTCCACAAATAAAAGCAATTGCTAAGCCACAATCATGTTAGGATAACTCCAAAGTCTCATGGGATCAGGGCTGTGATTCTGATCTCTAAGCACAGAGCAATTTAAGGCTTTTCACCATTTAAAGAAGGCAGATCCCATAGGCAGCATTTGCTCACCTGCATCACTTTCTCTCCCCTCCTGCTCTCTATGAAAATCTAGAGCTGATCTCCAAGCACTGCCCTTCTTGATGCACATTCCTCACTTTGTCAATATCCCCAGCAAGTCCCTACTGTCAGTGTAAGCAGAGGTGCCACACGCAATCAGGCCAGTGGAGATGCACTGCATTAATCCCCACAGCCCAATTCTGCAGGCATCAGACAAGCAGAATTCCCACCACTGCAAAATGCTTTGCCTATTTCAGAATCACAGGATCTGGCCCCTCCATGAGTCCCAAAGCCAACACTTAATGAAAACAGACAAAGGACAAGAGAAAAAGAACGATACAGACAGAGCACAGCATTGTTTCTGAAAGGAAATGTTTTTTCAGTTTCCCATGAGGCATCAGTAGCTCTTCAAACAGAGCCCAAACCTCAAGTATGTCAGCAATTCAACATTCAAATGAGAGCTCATTACCTCAACCCACCGCTTACAATTTTAGTCACTTTCGTTTTTCAGAACCCAAATCAGAGCTCCAGGAATTACTGCAAATAGCTGACAGGCGCAGCACTTCCATGAGCATGGTAACTGAGCATTTATACAGGTCAGGAGGTAGGACACCCTTCCATTCCCCACACAGGATTTCTTCCCACCAGCCAGGGGCCCTGTTGCAGCCAGCCTTCGCCGGCTGCTTCTCTTCCCCCACCAAAGCAGAAGACAGCTCTGCCATTTTAGACTGACTTAGTAGACTTCAAACAGAATTTGTCCTGGTTCCAAAAGGAATACAAATGTCTAAGAAAGGAGGAGACACAGTTAAGTGCTTTGTTATCCACTACACTACACCTTTGTTTCCTGGGAGATCTGGGTTAGGTTGGCATCAGATATCACAATCCAGGCTGTTCTGTCTTGCTTCAGGGTTATGCTGTCAGCAAGGAGCTTTGTGTGTATGCTCAGGTGTGTTAGCTGAACTGCTCCCTCCGAGCAGGGCACAAAACAGAGGGAGCAAACTGCAATGATTTCCAATAACAGCTATGCTGTTTTAATTGGGAAGTTGTGTTCTTCTAATTGATTAGTTAAAGACAAAGAAAGCAGCAGAAGTAAATATGAAAAAAAACCTCACACTGAGTCACATCTGCTCATTCACATTAGCTAAAGGAAGATACTGTCTTGGAAAATTATATACAATTTCCTCCCATCCCACAAGCTGCCCTTGCAAAATACAACTAAAACCTTGAAAGAATACTTACACTTCCTGCAGGTTCAACAGCTCTGCAAAGGCAGAAGGATCAATCTCGGTCAACTTATTGTAGCTCAGGTTTCTGTTAAAATAAAAGAAAGCGGCATCAGCATCATACAGTTACTGTGCTCAGCAAAAGTGTCATCCTAATTATTCTGGATTACACTAGGAAGTGGTTTGGGTTTGGTTATTTTTGCCTTTGTTTTTTTAAATAGGAACACTTAAACATGGTAGGGCAGCACTTGGCTGCTGAATACATGCAGGAGTTACTTTAGTTCTCTATCAAAATGTTATTTATCTTGCTGTAAGTTTTCTCCTCTTTTGCATTAGTGGTGTTGTCTTTATATTACATTAGTACTAATTACATTAGTATTCCTCTGCTGGTTATTCACAACCACACAACTCAGGGTGTGATGAACAGGGTATTTCCTGACAAATTGAAGTCTGAACTGAAACAATCAACAAGGCTTCTCCTAAATATTTCCTAACTATGATGATATTTGGGTATTTTTATGTGCCATTGTGTTCCACATATAAACAAAAGTGTGCACACAAGTATGCACACTTATATTTTATGTTAACATACAGTATTTTACATTTTCTAACAGACTGTCATTAACATATCACTCAGTGCTGGTCATGCAGTAACACATGCTTGGTTCCTCAACAACTTCCATCACTTTCCAACTGACAGACCAAATCTAGATCATCCCATTTTATGAGGGATAGGTTCTGCTATCTGAACACAGCCTGCTGAAGGCCTGCTTTGCAGGACACACCCCTGTTTGGAAACACAGCTGGAACAAGGTAGCAAGAAAGCAATGCTGAAAGCCACACTCAAGACCCTTGCAATGCTCTGCTGCAGCATCACAACAGTGAAATTCCCGCAGAGACATGCAGCATCAGCACACCGCACACAGGTCCAGCCTGTGCCTGGGGATGCATCGGGAGAGCACAAATCAATTAAGACCAAGCGACTAATGATGTGGAAATTAACAAATGGCCCAATTAATATGATGTATGCCGTGCTGGAATGTTACTGTATGTAATCTGAAGAGGGAGGAGGCCAACTGACAGGCAGTAGCAACAAAAGCAACCACAAGGAGTTGCGAGGAAATTGAGGGGACCTGCTTTAATTTTGCCCCGCTCCACACCCTGCTCTATGATATTATCCTGGGTAATACTCAACCCTCCTGTCTCCTCTGCAGGGAGGTTACACCCTCTTACTGCACCTCTGAACACAACCCAAAAGATTCATGGTCTGATTTTAGATAAGCCCTTAAACATCCAGCTGCTTATTCAAACCACCAAGCCAGTCTGACTGGAAAGCGGGCCAAACTTTCCCAGTTTGTGCATTTGCTTTGTGTAAAAGCTGTGCCCACAGCCCCCAGGCAGGTCTGAAGCCCCAACAGGACCCATGTCCAGAGGCCCCTGAATGTCAATCCCTGCACTGGGGGACTCGGGAGGAGACAGACAACAAGGACAGCTGCAAGAAAGGTCCAGACCTGCCTCATGTGCCCCATGCAGTAACAGAGAGATTCAGGCCCACAGCAATGCTTCTAAGCACTAAGGATTGAGAGACAAAGGAGTTACAAATGCCTCTTTTGAAATAAAAAGCAATTATTGATCATCTGCTCTCCTGCAATACATTTATGGGGTATGTTCAAAACATTCCCCTCCACATGGGTACTGTTCAATAGCACTGTTTTCCAGCACTTCAGAGAAGCCCACGAAGGTACCTTGTACCATGCCTGAAATGTTCCATTTCTGCTAATACCTACTGTGAAAGAAGGCTCTACAAATAAACAGCACAGGATTTCTTTAGCAGAATCTAACTTGAAGCTATATATGAGTGTAAAATCTAACCAAGCATCTAGTTTTAAAATATGTTGTCGTGTAAGCCCCTACTGTCTTTTAAAACACTCAAGAGACCTTTAAATCAATACCAGCCTACAGCAGATATCCATTTCACTATGAACTCAAAGGCATTTGTCTAAATAAAAGTCAAACTGCAGTTTAAACTCAGAGTGTGTTTGAAAGCCAAGTCCATATTCATAGCACAATTACGAATTAAAGTGCAATTTGCCCACAGATTACATTACTACTATTTTTTTTTTAAACCACACAGCAAAATCAGGTTGGAGCTTGTCCCTGTCTGACGTATAGGCAAAAGGAGAAAATTACAACAGGTAACGTCCTGCAGGACATTATATCCCATAGGCTCAATGCAGTAAGAATAAAGCAGGCACAGAAACACTGGTGACATTCTGTAAGAAGGAAGTACAGACACGGTGCTGGCACAGTCAAGATTGTGCCAGAATCCATCAGTTTTAAGGTATTTCTATGCTGCAAATTTTTTAAATGTAACATATTTATCCTGAAAACATTCCACTGCAATAAGCTAAGAGGCTGCTCCACAAACCAAACGCTGAGGATCGCGGGCACACTGATCATCCGTATGCTTGTCAAGGGAACCGATCCCTGGCTTACCCAATGCCCGAACACTGAGCAATGCTGATGTGACCTTCAACAGCTCAAAAGTGAAAAACGGAAGAATCTTAACAGAATAAAGAATTTCATGGACTAACAACTTGCAAAAGAACTTTCTGATTATTGTTGCTGCCGTTTGAGAAGTTTGAACATCAAAGTCATCAGACAAGCAGCCAGCTCTTTAGATAGTACAGCTGGATTTCACCTACTCCAACAAAAGAAACTTCTGAGTGCTCGCTACAGAAATACAGGTGAAACCTACCTTATACGCCTAAATCTTCAGTTCTGCCCACGCTAACCACTCCAACTTCCAGCTATCCTCACCAAACACACAATATGCTTTTCAAAAATCAGCGGGGAAAATGAAGACTAGAAATATAGCATGAGTACAAAAAAAAAAAAAAAAAGCTTGAAAATAGATACATACACCAAAATAAACAGTTTACTTCAATGTTAACATGCATTAAAATGCCCAGGAATTTGTCGCCTGTAGCATTAGCAAGCAAAGGACAAGTTTCCCAGAACTCAGATCGCCTCACTAGACACTATTTGGCATGCCAGTCACAGCATGCAAATGGGAGAAAGAATTAACATGCTCTAATAGATAGATCATTGGGACTGGGAGTCAGGAAACCTCAGTCTATTCCTAGCCCTCTTAATCTCCTGCTGTGTGACTGGGTCATGTCACATCACCTCTCCAGAGCTTTTGTTTCCACAGCCACCCTTTGTCTGTCTTGTCTATTTAGACTGTAAATAAAATTGAGGTAGGTATTGTCTCGGTTTGCCCAATGCTGACAAAATGAGGCCTCAATCTTGGTTGGGCTCCAGTAATGCAAATATAGAAGAGAACTCAAAACTTAAGGTCATGGGTGCACACGACGCTCTCTGATCACAAAGCACGGATCTCAAATGCAAGGCATCATGTGTAGCTGCAGCATTCCCATTGATTCGGCCAAGCATCCCAGCAGTGTAGGTGGATGGAGATGCCAAGCTCAGAGTTCTGCTGTCCTGTCACTGGAAATCATCACGCTCCTCCTCTGCCACAGCAAAGACCACATTCCTCCCCATGGAACCCCTCAGTCTGATCGATACAGCGCTCGGCTGTGCAGTTGAGCAGTGCCTCTCATTGAGCAAATATTTCTTCACCAGTGTTTTAAGAAGTCTTCTCCGAAGAGCCCTGGAAACCTGAGCTCAAAGCCCAACATATGCTTCAGGAAGCATCCTACAGCATTCTACAAGAGTCAGAAGCTGACAGCAAAGACAGCAAAACAGCCATCAACTTGTGTAGTCTAATGGTCAGCTCATTTTTTCCCATTTGAACAGAAGGTGGCATAAGGCTTATGGGGTTTGTTAAGATATTTTATTTTGATTTAGTGGTACAAGAAATGCTCTACACATTATTTATCTATTTTATATATATATCTACACATTATTTATCTATTATATACATCAAGTATATAATTCCTTGTATTGGCTAATCCAAAAACGTAGTGTTTCCCCCCCTCATATACAATGTTCCTGATCAAGAACTAAGAACAAGTTAAATCAATATGGGAAGGGCCCTCTTCTGTCTATTTATCCCTTCCAATCTTTAAATAAGAAAGCAGTGTTTGCCTTTATTTGGCACTGTAGATCGCTAACCACTGCAGAGGCTGAAAAGAAAGCCTTGTTAAATAACCCGATACAGAATTTGCTGTTAGACTACCTCCTCAAAGTAATAATGCTGTCACAAAACCAGCCTTCTTGTCTGCAAAAAGGAATCAGGCAGCTCTCTGACCTGACAGATGCTGATCCTGCATCCCTGGCAAGGTGCAGGGTAGACTGGGAGTTCATGCACTGGTTTTGGTTCTGCTTTGGGAAGCTGGCCAATGTGCAGTAAGCCACCTCTGTATTGAGAACAAGGTGCCTGGCTAGCTTGCCAGACAAAGAAATCAGCAGGCATGAGGCTCCCAGTCCTGCTACCACGATGATGGCTGAGTTCTGCTCAGGGAGGTGGAAGTTTCCGACCTGCACGTCGAACCCATTCATCTGTCAGCATGGAAGATTATGTCAAAAGTGTTTCTGCACCTTTTGATGACAGGCAGAGGAGAAAAGGAGGATGGTTCGAAGTTCTGCCCCTGCCAACCGCAGCTTTCATTAAACACTTTGTCAACCATTGTCATAACACAACTTTTCATTGCGTCTGCACAAAAGGGAGCCGAGGGCCCAGAACAATCGAGCCCTGCAATAGAAATTCCTCTGGCTAATCTGTCGAAAGATAGCTGCCTAGTCTGCAGCTTACTGAATAGGCACCATCCTCTTCCCACATGTTTGTGGATGGCTTTACAGCACCAGCATGGAGGCCCCATGCACACTTCACTGGGCATGAAAAGCATGGCAGTAGCTGAATAAGCCTGGGGATGGGAGTTGGGGGAACAACAGGAGAAACACATTGCCTGTGCTTCGAGTATACAGCTGTGCACAGAAGAAAGCACGCATGAGTTTCTCTTTTAAATAAGCTTTTTCACTCCCCAAGAGATAGCAGGGTCCTCATACGTAGTGACATGCACGGCTTAACACTGAAGCACAAAGCAATCAGAGACTGCAGGGATT